ACAGGGGACTTCATATATACCTTGGTTTTCCAGGTCAATTTTATCTTTGGGGTTTCTTAGGATGGCTGCTATTTTCCTGTCTGTTTTGAAGGCAGTCTTGATGTGATGCCTGTGTAGTAACAATGGCACCAAAACCCTATGGCACCAAAACCCTAGCCACTATAGAAAACCCCAGCTACAGAATTATCAGAGAAGCCATAGAGATTGAAAGAAGACCTGAAAGCATGAATAGAAGAGATGACTCCACCAGACTGTCAATTATCTCGAAGCCTGTACTCTCAAACAAAAAAATCTCCACACCACAAGCCAGGCAAACACCTGGGCACAAACAGACTCCCCCTGATACCTCCAGCTCAAACACACCCCAACCAGGCACCCAGATGAAACCTAGCTTCCTAATAAATGATAGCCGTCCATTTACTCGGAGCCAAGCCGCATTAAAAGCCTCCAATACAGGAAACACAATGTTGCCAGCCAATCAAGACAAAAAAAGCTGCAAAACAGACAGAAGATATTAGAAACACCAATCAAGCAGAACACAGCAAACTCAGAAATCCATCCTAATTTCAATTAACTGTTAAGTTTAAGTCACTCTTTCTAGCTTGTCTTCATGGAGTAAAATCTTTGTCTTCTCTGGAAAGTTGTAAGTCCCAGGCAGCTTACAAGGAGGCTAGCAGGCAGATAAGTGGTTGTTGCCAGGTGCAGGATGGTGCACAAGGGATTGGTGCGGTACAGTATGAGAGTGGCCAGGCTTGGGATAGGAGGGTGCTGCTATCTGCTGCAGGATATAGGAGGGTGTGCAAGGGTTCAGCATGGTGAAATAATAGCAGAACTAATGGTGGCAGCTTCAGAGAGGATGTGAGATAAGCACATCCAATTTGGGGAGAAACATTCAAATGGGAAAAGGCTGCTCTTACACAAGAACACATGGTTCTCTATTCACCTAAAACTTGGTTTTCTCAAATTATGCACTTTTGCTTGAAAAGTCTTTTTAATTCATCTATGAAGTAGAAAGGAAACATTAACTGCTCTTTTAAAACATACACACACCAAGAGATTAAAAAAAAAACCCACACACAGCACCTAACATCCAACACTTCTTCCAGTCAGCAAATTTTATCTGATTCCACCACAAATGTTTATTGGAATCCATTATTACATGTGATAGACCAGTAAAAACAAGCTCAAAATTGGAAAGACATGATACAATGCAAAAAAAAATTGGAATTTAAAATTGAAATGAAACCACAGAAGAAGGGGGAGACTGCCTGCAGGGTTGAGGAGAGCCGCATCTCTCCTCCCCAGCTGGCCATTACTCCCTTTCCTGAAGGCGGTTGTAGCGGTGGTCAGAAATGGCCACCACAAAGAAGAACTTGACCGGAAAAGAATGTGCAGGAGGAAGATAAGAAGAGAAAGTTTTGGTTGACCGGGTCAAACAACAAAAGCAGCAAATTTAAATGTAATTTAAATGTAATGGAATTTAAATGTAATGACATTGTTCCCAAAGATGATTTTGAAGCTGCGAAGGAGAGAGAGAGAAGGGAAAGGATTAGTTTTTTTTTTCTTCCCTTCCTTATACTGACAGCTAAGAGACTTAGGCAAGAAATTGAAAAAAATCCACTTTGACATTAATAGGCATCTAAGCTGAAAATAAAAGTCAAAGGGATAATAAAGATTTCTGGATATTTAAAAGTTTTTAAAAGCAGGAAAGGAGAAAAAAAAAGAATAAAAGGGCAGGATCTGGAAAAATGGAGGAGACTGCCTGGAACTAAGTAATGGAACTGTAACTAAAAGGAGCTTACAGTGAAATTTTAACAAGATTCCTCAAAGATATGTCTTAATTGAAACTTGGTAACAAAATAATAGAACCCCAGGAAGAGAAAGTGGAAAAAAGAAGCAGAAAGAAACAGCCTTGGATTATTTGGATTACTTG